ACACTTTACTTTATAATTTACCTTACCTAAAGATCTGATTTCATGTTTTCGCTGTTAAATCATTAATGTCAAAATTTACTTAGATTAAATGAGGATCCAAAAACAAATACTCTTGTAGTTTATGTTCATCGTCATCGCGCAAGCGAATAGTTTAATATTCTTTTTAATTTAACTAATTACTATTTATTGCATCTATATTAAAGTTTTGAAAAAATTACTCTTATTTTTTTTTTTTCAATACATAAAAATTGATCGGCATAATATCAATTATACGTAACATATTCATTATATGACTGTAGTATATGCTATCTAATTTTTTTAATCTAAAATCCATAAATCATATTCATAAGACAAGTTTACTTAATTTACTGTTTTGTGTGTTACATAAATATCTGATGTTTGATTAAATTTGATGAGATTGGCTAAACAAACAACTTATTTTTGACAAATGTTATCACTACAATTATAATTAGTAGACTTCACTTATATTATTATTATTATCACACGGAAAAAAAGGGAAAAATTTCATTATACATAAAAATCCGAGTCGCTTCAAATTTAAAACTGGAAAAACTGCAGTTTAAAATAAAATTTTTATAGTTCAAACTTTGAATGTTAATTTTCACAGCTTTTAAATGTAATATTTACATTTTACAGTTTAATTCTTGCAAGATCTGTAAAAATTACAATCTAAAACTGTAATTTTTCCAGTTTTCTATATGAAGTACCACGTTACATTATATAATGTAATTTTTCCCTTTTTCTTATTTCCGTGTATTAATACAATCATTAATATTGATTAATTAAAACCATTTTTATCAAGCGTATATAGTAGATAGTATACGAATTTTTACGATGTTACATCATAAATTTTGGAATTTTGTTAAAACAAGCATTTATTGATGTTACAGAAGACAATTTTAAATACAATGAATTCTTATTACCGAGCTATGAAGTAATAATGGTTACTCTCCGACGGTAAAATAAAACCCGCTGTTTCGTACATAAGGTAAATCCATATAATTGCTAACCATTTGTCGAAAAATTATCAAATAGTGCTTTTAAAAATAGTTATCGTATAATGGTCATATTTATTAAGATTTCCTAAATTTTTTGTCGAGTATATTATTTTGTTAATATGTACAAAAGTAGAAATTTTCAGGAAAAAAATTGAAGATTAACATTGGTTTAATATATCAGTTGCACAGATGTTAGATTTTATTGATAGTTAGTTTTATTGATTCACGGAGAAAAATTAATTATATTATTTACTATACAAAAATATTAACTCCTACTATCTGAAATGGTTCAAAATTAATTAGTCACAAATTAATAGGTGGTATAATTGTTGACAATTGTAATAGTTACTATTAATAATGGTAACGATTACTATCGAAAATGATAATTGAAATTATTAAAAATTATAACTGCTATAATCGCAGATGGTAACTGTTACCATCTCAGATTGTAAAAATTCTAAAAGAAAAGATAATATAAATTTATTTAATTAAATTCTTTATTTGCATCCATATTTTAGTTATGTACATTTTTTCTTTTAAAATATTAAAACAAGTAATAACACAATCGTTTAAATCTGTATATGATAAAAATTTTCAAATATTAGAGCTATTATTGATTACTTTGAATGACATAATTTTTGAAAATTTTGATTTTTTTGGAAATTTTAAATTTTTTTTGAAAAATTTGCCGTTGAAACTTGTTTTAGACAAATAAAAATTTAAATTTAAATTCAATCCGAATTTAATCTCGATTTTTTGTGCACTACACTGCGCTACAACTGCTTTTAATTAATTCAGAAATGCATCCACACGAACGCAGATTCTTAATTTTTTTAATATTTTTTACTAGCTTAGATAGCAACTATTATTATTACTGATGGTAACTGCAATCATCAGGTTATACTAGGAATTACGATTTTGATAATAGTAGTAACTAGTTGAAATAATAAAAGCTATTATTACTGATTACCATCATAATAGTAGTAGTTACCATCAGGATAGTTTACATAATTATTTAAATAATATTTACTACTATCGAATTCAATTAATAGATTTTACCATAACTAGATAATAAACTCTAGTATAAAATTTTCTCCGTGTAGAGTCATAATTAATAACATATGACGATCCTTTGAATTCAATCTGTAATTCAATACAATCTCATAACATTAAACGATGAGCTGTGTTGATATTTTTAATTGTATCCAGTAATGATGTTATCTTTGATCCGTCCATCAAGCATTGTATTTCACATCAGTATACAAAGCAACTTTGTTTCTCTATTCAGCTATGTTTCAATCATTTGTCAGGTAAAGCGTTTAAGGACACTTTCACAGTGCTCCAATAAAACAGATATCGTTGATACAGTAGCGCAAATAATTAAGTAACATGTATTTAACAGCATCATTTTTTTTTCTACTTCGCATTGTGAGTACCTACCATTAATTAGCCAGTTTAATTATATTATTGTGAAAATCTAAACTAATTTGAGAATAAAAAGTACACGTCTCATTAGAAATGAGTAACAAAGTATGAAAATGCTCCATTAAAATGTTATATTTAAAATTTTGCACTTCATTTTAATAGTTTGAACCGAGTGTGTATAACGGAGATTTAAAATAAGTGAAGTGAGCTCTGTTGTGAGATGAAAAATTTTTGCTCGTAAATTAATTCTTTGATATTGCTTGACATATCCGTAAAGGGCCATATTAGGAAATTTATGATACAACAAAAAAAATTTCTGGCAAAATTAAGGAAAAATCTGTTAAATTTTCAGTTTTAACCTTGTCGAGACGGCGCGTTATTGTCAAATTTACATTTATAGAAATGTAATTTTTATATTCCAAAAACTGTCATCCTAATAATGTAAATTTTATGTTACGAATATATGTAAATTTTACATTGCAAAAAATGTTAAATTTACATGAAAAAAAGGTAGATTTAGTATTCGAAAATTTGTAAATTTTTCACTGAAACATTATTTAACAATTTAATTTTTACATATCAATACCTGTAAATTTAGCAATTTTTCTTTGTAAATATGACATTATTCAAAGGTGTAAATAATACATATTTCTTTAATATTTTTATGTAATTTATTTCCGTGATTTATTTCTACACATGACCTGGTATAAAAATTGGCCATATCGGGTCATATATAAACATAGCCAGCTGAATACGGCTTAAAGGGACCCGGTAGTCTAGAAGCTTAGAATTACATGAGTTTTTAAAATTTTTTTTATGTCAAAATAACAACCAAAACTTTAAAAATTTTAAAGGACTATTTTATTACAATTTAAGTGTACAAAAATGATTATTGAAAAAAAAAAAAAATATATTTCAAGTAATTTAAAAATGGCGCTGAAGTCCCCTCAAAAAAAAGAACCTGAGTGAAGCAGAATGTTTGAGCTCTTCTATGGGTCTGAAATTAAAGAAAAAAACGGATTTTTAATCATTATTAATATACCTATCGCAGGAACTAGAATGAAAAAGAAAATTTTTTTTTAGGAATGGCGCATTGTTGAAATTTGAAAAAAACTCATGTAATTCTAAGCTTCTAGACCACCGGGTCCCCTTAATATAACTCGTGATCATATCAGATCTATAGATTATAATGTGATCGTATGGCCTAGATATAATTTTTCGACCAAATGTAGTGTTGGAAATCTCCGACAAAGTATAATCGTTAAATCATCTCCTCTTACAAAAGACTTAATTTTAATTAACAACTAAATCAACAACTTTTATTTAATACGATGTGTTAATTGACATGCATTCTTCTAAAATAGGTGCACACTTCCAAAAAAAAAATTAGGAAAACGATTGACCCTAAAGGCCATCCCTGCAACTCCCCTCTAATTCCATACTTAAGCGCTCAAAATAAGTATAAGTTAGCAGTTTTATAATTTTTGATCATCCTATTTGGGTGTAAAATTTGATTTTGCAGCACTAAATTAGCGCTTAAAAAGCACTAAATTTTTAGCAAAAATTTTAGTGATTCTGCCCATTTGATCATTTTAGCTTTACAGACGTGTTCAAAATTGTACTTGTTACGTTTTTGATTCTTCGAGCTCAAAAATATGAATTTCGTGTAATTTTTAATTCTCCGAGCTCAAAAATCTGCTAGAAGTTTAATAAATCACTATTTTTTGAATTTTCAAACCGCAATAACTTTTGAATTAATAAACCGATTTTCACACGGGTGGTGGCATTCGACGCAGTTTTCGAAGCCTCATGAAAAACCTTCAAGTTTGAATTGATAGAATTGAGAATTTCAAGGTAATTCCGAAAAAACATTTTTTTTTATTTTTTTCGTTAATGATAATTCACGAATGATTCAACCGATTTCGACCGGACTAGAGGCTATCGACGTAATTTTTTTATGTTAAGAGCTGATAAGTTTTTGAAAAAAAATTTTTTTGTAGTTTTTTGAGATTTCTCAAAACCTACCCATTCGAATCGGGCCAAATGGTATTCAAAATCTAAGTTCAGTCAAGTCCATTTGAATGGTGCTATATAACCACGATGAAATCAGTCAAGCCGTTCAAAAGTTATGAGAGGTTTACATACGGCAACAAACACACACACACACACACACACACACACACACACACACACACACACACACACACACACACACATCCGGACATCATCACGGAAACATTCAGAGAAGCTTCCTAGGACCTCAAAACGTCAACATCTGTTGAAAACTCGATTTTCGAAAAACGGGGTAAAGCCAATAAATTCCCAAATTTTTAAAAGTTTTCAATTTTCTTAACGGGAAGTTAAAACTTTTTTAAATAACAATAAATTAGATTTTTATTCTCATGTATGATACTTTGATATGGTCATATCAGGTCAGACAAAAATTGAATATATATCCGGTCATATGGGGAAATTTCCCTCAGATCGTCAATTAATATTGTCATTGATAAATAAGTACCATTATTTTTTCAGTATTTACTTTTGATTTCGATTTCAATGGAGGCGTCTCCAGTAAAATTGCGTAGCAACCGAGCCGCTGAATCAACCAAGCTGACATTGAATGAGTCTCCATACTGGGAGTACATTCTCCGCGAGTTTGTGTTCAAGACAATATCGTCATTACCCCAATCCAACAATGTTCTATACAAGAAGTTGCTGGAAGCTCCATTTTACGGTGGCCCGCTCTTGACATTATCTAATGAAGACAATACGTTATTGTCCCGAGGAGACGTTTATCATCTTCCGAACGGGCAATGGATCCTGTGCCAGGAAGGCTGCGAAAACTGTAAACTCTGTTCAAACCAAAAAGACTCTCTCGTGAAGTGGGAACTGAAAAAAGTTAAACCTAATACATCATCCGATCTGTATAAATACGATCTTCAATTAACAGTGATACCACAAAGAGGAAGCACTGCTCTCTCGAACTTCGGGATTGAGAACATTTACATTCCTTATGGAATAAAATCGTCTACTGAATCATCGAAATCGGATTCGCTTGTTACAGAACATTCACATATTGACCGAACCAGATTCAGTCGGTCTTGGCGTCGAATGCAGAGAGATCAAATTGGACAGCTTGATAAAGATAGTACAAATATCAATCAAACGGAAGAACTATTATCACTCGATAATTCAACAACAGACTCCCAATTGATACCACGTGACGATATAGGTGATTCACATGACACTTCGCCTGCACATCGATTAATTCTCGGAGCTGACCAGTTGGGCAACAAGCATGTCATCCATATTTTGTCTCTTAATTCATCCTCATCGGAAAAGTTAAATTTTTACAACGATGTTGATTATCAGCTTATGAACAATGCCGAGAAATTGAGTAAGTTGTATTCGGATGTTCGGAAATTGTCGCCGTACCAACGGTACCTCGAGAAAATATTGGATTCTATTCACAACCATCGTCCTTTTGTTGAAACATTTTTATCTTATGATCAATTGAACCAAAATAAACGTGATAAGTGATTGATAATGTTGAATTATAATTTTTCAAGTTCTATTCCATAAAAATTAATATTATCGGTATCATACATTTCAAATAAAAAATAATTAATGAACTAATGTATCGAATTTTTTAAAATAGGTATTTTGTTGTATTTGCATTGTATAGAAACTGCTGAATAGTTTGACCTCAAATCTGCGTTATGACAGTTTAAGTTTTAGATGTAATATTAATAATTATGCACTGATAGAAAAATAAATTTTAATCCAAAAGAAAAAATTTTGAACCTAGAGATTTTTTTGACTTAAGTTAATTTTTTGTAACTAGAATTTTTCTACTTAATTCAAGACACAACCATTCCTAAAAATTATTTATCTTCTTGGTTCAAAATTGTTCCTAAAATTAATTGTTCAGTTAGTCTGTTTTGCGGGATGATCTTAATTATTAAATCTTATTTCATTAAAAATACTAAATTAATCATTCATGTAAGACGATTTTTTACAGATAAAAAAAAATCCACGTAAGTAAAACTTGCATTGAACATTATTGCATTCAAATTTGATTCACAATTTTTTAATTTTTTAAAAGTGGGGTACATCTATTTTGTCATAAAAAATCGAAAGATGAATTTATTCAATACTTATTTTTTCGGTTTAGTGAATAAAGTTTAAAAATAAAAAATTCACATTTGTTCCACTTTTTATTGAAATTTTTCTGGTATCAACTTTTCGAGTGTAAAATACATTACGATACTTCTGCATAATTACCCAAAATTTTACACTTATCAAGAGTGTTACGTATAAGTACAACGAAGAGTTTTATAAGTACATTGTAAGTACTATTTTGACTCAAGACGAAGTATGTGCAATGTAAAGTAATAGCGATAATACATAAGATTAATTTAACTTCTACTGGAAGTTTCCGAAGTAGGTTCATTGAAATAAGTCAATATTGAGGGAATCATCAAACATTTTCCCTTCAAAGACTTGAATACTGTTGAAAGTTGCTCTGTCGACAATGAACTTTTAAAATTCTTTGCCCTACATTCCAAAAAACATTTAACAATCAACAAATAATACCCCAATGAAATAATTTCTCCATCCCATCAATAAAACGTATTTAAAAGCGAAAACTGTCAAAATTAATATTGTCCATTTCACAATGCAGACAACTTTTCAAATTGATATTGAATATGTTATAACCATAAAATTTTTAATAAAAAAAAAAAAGAAAAACAGTAATATTGAATAATTCCAGGCATCAATATTCATCATCTCCATAATTCAGTAAACAATTACATCCAATATTCAAGGTTCCCTTTAACCCAGTATCAGTTCATCAGAGTTGGATATTTTGTTTGACAATGCTCGAAAATTTATAGGGACACGATATACGGACAGTGGTATTAACAGTATTACCATTGCATTGAAAAACGTACAGTACAGTGCAGAACAGAACATAGCAGAGTACGGTAGATATGCCCGGCTGGTGAAATACAACACTATGGATAGCACGTTGTTGAACAAACAACGCGGGAATATTCAATGCTTGTTTCACGCTCGCGCATGTGAGTGATCGTTAATTCGATCGTTCGCCTTTACTCAATGGTAATGTGATCGCTTAATACGTTCTAATGCAAATAAACGCAAACCACTGTTTAGTTTTCTCTCTCTGTGCATAATACTCACATCATTACAAATATATCCTTCAATGGTATGCTGACTGCTCCCTCCCATTCTCTCTTCTGTAGATTAGATGCACCTAACACAACTAAATCTATTTATTCTATTCTGGTATGAGCGATATATTCTGCATAAGAGAAGAGAAGTAGTTAGCTATACACCCGTCTGAAGTCTCAAGGATGCTGATACGACTTCATATGTATTTGTTATAATTATAGCATGCTAATAGATAGAAAACCAACCAAAATCAAAATCAGCATATGTTTGGTACCTGAAATACACATGATGGGAATTCGCACTGTAAATTGGATGTCGGTTTCTATATATCTAGATCTATATCTACATATAGTATACTATTATGTGCCTCATATTATATGTTGTCAGTTAGAATAGGCGGGTTCAAGAGGTTAGGCGAGCTAGTGCTTATATTTAATTAAGGAGGAAACTAGTATAATGAAAACGCGGAGATGAGAACAGCTAGAGGGAAAGTAGGACACAAAACAGAAAGCTTTTCGGCAAGGGTGAGATGGTAGCTCGTCTAATTATCTTCCCTTACATTCACCAACGCTCCAAACCTGTTCCTCATAACCCCGTTCTATTTTCTTTATTGTTTACACTGTCACTTTCTGATGTACACGATCATTTTTCTTATTCATTGGTTCCACTTTTAACGAATATTTATTCTCTATTTTGATACTTAGATTTTCATTAATTCATTTTTATTAATTAAGTCATTTATTTAATCGTTTACTTTAAAAAGATCCAACAGCTCACGTCATTAACAGAGTCAAGTTAAACGGAAAAATGTTTAGTTTATTCCGGTGGTTTTTTCGTTTCTATGACCTTGAATAAATTTATAAAAATGATGTGAGTACCATGTACGAAAAAGAGTATAAATAAAAATAGTTGTAGAGCACTTCAATGCTTCGCAATATGAGACGTGCAATTTTTTATGGATTGTATCCAATCTGATTTTCAAAAATCGAGTTTCTATTATTTTTTTGGCGATTGAAAGACGTTGTCAGGTACCAGAACTGATCCAAATTTGACATTGATCGGTGAGTAGATTCCGATTTTAATTGAAGAATTCAAATTAAATTTCGTATTCTCCTTTTTTTTGTTTCTTTCGCGTATTACCGAAACGTGATGGGAAGCTTTCAAAATCTAATCAGCTATTGAACTTACTAACGGCTATCGATTATAATCAACCAAATTTGCTTTACTCATCAGATAATTATCTGATGAGTAAAGCAAATTTGGTTGATTTATTTGAAAGGTACTGTGAACGAAACCAGTGGGGAAAATGGTTTTATGTACGTTTGAATGAGTAGCTTTAAAACTAATTGACGAAATAATCAAAAAATCATGTTGTTGATAGTGCCGAATGTTCGACGAATTACCGTGGTCTTCAATAATAGTTTTTGAAGAAATTTTATTTTCGTGTTGATACCGAAAAAATACTGAAGACTTCATGAGAGAAAATTTTCAGGATAAATCAAAGCAATATCAGTGACTGTCAATTGTACTTTTTTTATACATTCAATCATTAAAATTTAAAATCATGCATGATAATGCCGGGTCGTGCACATGCCGCAATCACGCCTGCTGAAAAGAACATGATTGAGTGTGACCTTACACAATCATGCGTTATTCATGCTCGATCATATACAATTCATAAATGATTATATCTGTTTAATGCTTAGTTAAGAATAATCACGCGTACTGAATTTTTCAAAAGAAGGAAAAAATTAAAAAATTCATTTTAAAGGCTATGCAAAATTCAAAATTTTACTATTCTCCGAAATTTTCAATTTTTAACTTCCCGCTAAGAAAATTGAAAATTTTCAAAAGTCGGTAAGTTATTGGTTTTACCCCGTTTTTCGAAAATCGACTTTTCATCAGATCTCGACGTTTTGAGATTCTAGGAAGCTTCATTGACAACATTTCACTTATTTTGTTTTTGAGCTCTTTGAGCTTAAAAGTACAATTTCTGAGTTATTTTGAGAGCTCAAAAGTCTGATAGAAGTTTGATAAAACACTATGTTTTGAATTTTCAAACCGCAATAACTTTTGAGAATGAATGAACCGATTTTTACGCGGTTGGTGGCATTCGACGCAGTTTTTGAAACCTCATAACGGATCTTTAAGTTTAAATCGATCGAACGACGAATTTCGAAGTAATTCCAAAAAAAACACTTTTTTCGAAATTTTTCGTTTTTGATGACTCTCGAACGAATCAACCAATTTTGTCGGGACTGGTGGCAATCGACGTGGTTTTTCAAACTTAAGAGCGAAATAGTTTTTGGAATTGATCGGTGCAACCATTTAGAAGTTATGCCAAAAAAATGATTTTTTGAAAATTTTATTTTTGAGATTTCTCAAAATCTAGCGAACCGAATTGATTCAAATTTTTACGAAATTTAATGGCAATGATACTCTTTAGATCGCCACCTATTTCGAGCCGATCGGTCAAGCCGTTCAAAAGTTATAAGAAGTTTACATACATACACACACACACACACACACACACACACACACACACACAGCCGCACGGACACCATCGCGGGGATAGTCAGGGAAGCTTCCTGTGACCTTAAAACGTCGAGATCTGATGAAAACTCCATTTTCGCAAAACGGGGTGAAACCAATAACTTCCCGAATTTTGAAAATCTTCGATTTTCTTAGCGGGAAGTTAAAAATCAATAACGGTCACATTTTTCTATAAAAATGATCAAATGGAAATATTTATTAATAAAAGATATTTCATTTTTTATATTAATAATAGATATAGGTCTTATTTCTACATTAAAATACGACTATTTGCTATCTGATGACTAGGTATACTGTGCAAAATATTCGCACAAGTTAACTAGTACTTGTTAATTATTTATTGTTCAGGTTATGTGCATCGTCTATACACTTATCACTTCGTTTTCACGTATGTATAAAAAAAATATAATCATGTGTTTAAACTAAAGATGCAGAAATGTGAAGATTCATAAACGATTTGACAGGTTTGTGAAAAGTAACTTCAATTGAGCCAGTACAAACGATGAGAAAAGTATGAGTCTAAAACGTGCGTTTCTTATTGTGAAATGGAAAAGGCTCAACTTTATTCAAGTGTGACTAGATACGTATATCCCTACAAAATCAATATTCATACTCACTTTTCACTTGATAAAAGGTAATACTAGCACCCTTAACACAAGCTTAAGTTCACACAAGCATACTTTAAATTCCGGATGCATAAACGTTAAAAATAATCCAAGGAGTAAGTATAAGTGCAAGTCTGTGGTTGTGTGATAATACGTCCACATACATATATAAATACGTGTGTGTGT